ATCTTTGCAAAGACAGTAGAGCTCTCTCTATTTTCTTGTCAAGCTACAAATTACATATCACAGCAAACTATGATGACTTCTACTAATTGCTATTCCATAACTTGACGTTTTAAATAAACAACTGTGTAAACATTTAAGCCAGCTGTAATATTTAACTTATTAACATCTTATGTCTTTATAAAGACACAGAAGCTATCCAGTAACAGACATTACGTTCCAAAAAATATATATTTAGTTTTAAATCTGCAATATGTTTTCCAACATGGTATATAATGGTAAAATAGTTTAAATAATCTGTCTGTATGGAACAAAATGACTTTCCATGCATACAAAACTTACAGATCATTTGGTATCATATTATATATTTTTTTTATTCCTGGAAGGAAAAACAAAACAAAACAACTTTAATATTACATACTTTAAGAATCAGATATAGACTTTCTATTACCATACAGGTAACATTTGCTACCTTAGTTAAATAACTGGTAGTGTATGAGTGAAGTATGGGTGCTTCCAATAACAAGGAGTATTCCTAATACCCACTTTTATCTCTAACAAATAAATAGACACTGTTTACAACACTTTTTGGAAACAATGAACAGATTACCATTTTCTGGTTCATACTCATTCAGTTAATAAACTTCATATCAGTTCATACACCAGAAGGAGGCCCTGCTACAATCAGTACCTAATAAATCATTGACAAAATAAATCTACTGTATTGCCTCTAATTATTGCCCCTCCCCCCAGTATTTTTATAAAGCTCATGTTGTGTTATAGCAATAGTAATCCAACATAGAATCTACTTTTACTACTGTAATTTTGATTTGAAAAAAAAAGAACAAACACACACACACACAGTTATTAGCTTGAAATAAAAAAACACGTATGAAAAACAGAATCTGAAACTGCACAAATACTGCAATTAGCACCCCCCCCCTGCAGTTTACAACACCCCTGGGGGTGTTAATTAGAGGCAATACGGTATCTCACTGGATATGCAGTATTAGACAAAAAAATTTCAAGAGTACAATAGTCATATATAACAAAATAAATCCTTAAAATGCTCATTAATGTGATACTTTTTAAGCTATACACACTTGTTTAAGTGTATTTAATAGGGTAAGAGGAAAATATCATCTATGAACACGCATTTAATGACTCACAAAGTTGTAATATTATAATAATAATTGACCTGCTACAACTGACACCAGTGCACTCACATCTAATACGAATGGCAGTTCTGTGGACTCCAGGAATGTTGTGTTATGTATGTAAGGTTTGCACATTTCTATCCCTTCAACAGCTGTGAAAAACAGTATAAAAGTACAAATCACAGTTTTAACTTCTTGATGTCTTCTTTCTTGAAGTCAACTCTAAATGGAAAGAAAACAAAGTTAATTTTGTAAATTATAAAGTTTTTGTAAAGAAAACTTATTTGTATACTGGAACTTCTTAGTCTTTAACTAATATTATATACATATACACTTTTGATGAATAATGTAATTATTACATTTCTTAAGAGTAACAATATATTTTAATCATCATTATTCACAGTACAATTATCATTAATGCCTTAGAACATAATTGGCATCTTTCTTGGATGATATGTTTAGCACTGGTTGGTTAATTTACATTTGGTATTTCTCATGAGGTAATTATGCAATTACAACTATTATTGTCATATTTACTTTTGTGTTTGGCTAAAACAACATTATTCTCCACTCTTCAGCATTCTAATGTCAACATTCATGACTGTCATTTTCCCTATAGTACCTCTAATATCAAAGTTCTCATGAACCTTGACATCAGATGTACTTATGTCATGAAACTATGATAGCCATGTTTCTGTCATGAACCTTGATATTAGAAGTACTTGTGGTAAAAGTGAAATCATGAACCTTTGTATTAGAGGTACTGTGAAAAACATTACAGTCATACCTATGGATAAATACTTCTGTTGGCAGGAATATGTGGAATGAAACATACATTAAATTTCAAAGTTAAACAGTTGGCAAATGTTGATATTAAATAGAATATAAGATGAAAACAAGTTGTTTCAAAGCAAAAATATTCACACCAGCTTAGCTAAAACAATTTAGAGTTGAAATTGACTAAAGTTTATAAACTTGATTTTACTTTCATTGATAGAGAGTAGTAAATATCACTTTATGTAAATAGAAATGATTTATGGTGAGGTATAAAAGACCAATGAGACAGATCCTTACTTACTCAAATTACTTAACTTTACGGTTTAGTAACTTTTCCTAAGTTCATACTTATGTTTGGCTTGAGTGTTTGGTAGCTTACCTAAGTTCATATTCAACTTTGACTTGTAAGTTACATATTCACATTTGACTTGAAGTTTGTAATTTACCAAAGACCATTAAAAACACTGACATAAAATCTTGTTAACAACTCATATTCAGAACAACGAATCTGGAACTGAAATTTTATTACTTACCTCAGTTTTAAGGCAGTTCGTACTTCAGTCGGAGTCAACCTCCATGTTAAACTTCCAGGGTCGGATCCCCATATATCTAGAATTTCGTTTACCTGATAAAAACAATGTTGTAAAAAATATTTAGTTAAAAATATCTACTTACATAGGGTGTACACTAACACTTCAGAATAACATTTTCAATCATGTGCAACTACTGTTTGATGATTTTATAACAAAAAAGTTAAAGAAACATGAAAAAAAAAGCACCTAGGATACTTTAAAATCATTCCAAACTATCATGTGTGCAAATTTTGGAGAATATTTGCACAATTCTAACTCCATTACCAATTTTTGCCATGGCCTGACTACTTTTCATATTAATACAGAAAGAAGTATTTATGAAACAGTGGCCACTTGTCAGAGGAAAAGGAGGCCATACCTCCTCAAAGATTTAGAACAAAAAATATTTCTTTGTTTTGTATATTAATATCCATATTTTCTTTGTTTTGGGTGTAAAATTCTCAAAAAGTTGCAAATTTTGTAGCAACATACTCAAAGATCTTCTTGTCCTGCTCTATGCCATTCAACAAGGTCACATCTTTTGGCTCGGTTATTTATTTATCTGTATAATTTCTCTATGCTGCAATAGAAACATTGAAAGCAGCTGAGCCTTCTTACAAAGTTTAACAAATATTTCAAAGCCAGGCACACAGATAATGTAGCCAATGAGAATTTAGGTTTTTAAAACAACCAATGAAAATCATTCTAAGAAAAGTTTGCAAACATGAGGAGCACACAAGGTCACAGTGATCAGTGACTAGTACAAATTTAATGACTATGTGATTATTCATTGTTTTTAAGGATAGCAACAATTAAAAGTTAATTTCATTAAATAATATGCAGTGACTTGGTTAAGAATTATGACATTTTATCTTGATTTGGTGGTTATTTCATCTTTTCAGTTTGAACAATGATGACATAACCAACATTTTTGCAGCTCTGATGGACTGACTACTCAAATTCACTTATAAATAAATTGAGATACTTACAGTAAGTACCTGTTTTACCATTCTGTATTTTTGGGGTGGGGTTAAAGTATCACAGTCTCCTACTCAATATTAACAGTAAGCTGCCAATATTATAAAGAGTCTAAAGATTAACAATTTTCACAGCCACAAGTAGTGGCTACTTTTTTTGAAAATAAATTCCCTACATTTATCTCTCTTTTTTAATACTTATATGAAATGTAACATGTTCCACTAAGCAAAATCTTTTTTCTTTTACATGTCAGTTTAGATAAACCAAAGGGCTCTATGTAAAGTGTAATATTCTTCATACAGTATACCTAACTGTTACACAGTTTGATTTTATTTCTGTTTATTTAGCTGCTGCTAATGTTATCATAATTGACACTATAAAGGTTCTTTCAAAAAATAAAACTGGAAATTAGTCATACCCTCTCCAGGTTTAGAATCGTAGCTATCTGAGTTAGACGAGCAAACTTGTCTCGAATGGTCCACGTAGTTATGGAGGTTAAATATGTTACCAATGCTCTCAGCTCTTTATCAAACTGAAGACCTCCAAGCTAAGAAATTATGAAAAAAAGTTTGACTTAGAATTAGGATATAGATTTGGAATGAAATGATCATTAAGTGATATAAATCTAAAAGTTAAAAAGAGACACTTCTAGACAGAATCTCAGATATTAAAATATAAACAGTACAAAACACTTACAATGTGATTCTAGAAAAGAAAAAGAAAGCTAACGCTTTATTTATAAGCTGAGTTCTATATTATTATTTGTTATTCACTCAAACACTCTGGAAACTGGGTGTGGTAAGGACCCACTAGTAGAATCTGGGGTGTAATGCCCATTGGGGAGTCCTGAGGAACAGTGCTCTGGAAATAATGCCATAGGTGAATCAATTTCCCTAAATTTTTAAAAGCAAACCAATCCCGCTTTATTCAATCCAATGATTGGCAGGGGCGAGCAGGATCTCATTATGCTTTACTCATGATAGTCCATGAGTGGTGATCCAGCATAGTACAGTAATACCACCTGGTCATCCTCTAGGTGGTCTTATAAAACACCTCATTTCTACAGAGTCTGTTGCAACCTGTATAAAGTATACTGAATTAGTGGTTGCTGGTGCAGAATTGGTTTGATAAAAGCACACCTGTCTGGGCAACACTCGCTACAGAGTGGGATCCTGTGAAAAATGAGGTTAGGGACCCTGAAAGGTAAAGAAGAGACAAGAGTAGCAATGAAAATACACACCATACTATATAATCTAGAGGATGTGGTTAATACAGCTATAGGGACTAGTCGAAAACCCTCAGATGACGATACTGCCAGATCATGCAAATAATGGAAGATAAGAGTATTGGGCGAGTCTACATACCAGCCTGCACAATGTCCTCTAGTGGGCAATTCAACCGGGTTGCTAAGGTAATAGAATTGTGACAAATCTGATGAGATGTGACTCGCAGAAGTCTCTTCACCTTCAAAAAGAGCCCAGAACAAGCGATACGGATCAATTTCATACCTACCTCATCAATATAACCAGAGATAAATCCTGGGAAACTGAATGATCCCAATGAATAAAGTCATTGTCTAACATATCTAAAGGCACTAGTGCAGGTAACATAACACATCAAGACCGTCACTGGATATAACAAAAATGATCGAGATCTGATTGGTCATAGAAGTGAGAAATAGTGATCAGATGAATCGGTGAAAAGGATTTATCCCCTTCCCTAGCTGTCAGTGTCTTAGAGAAGAAGAACTAGTCTGAGGACATAGGGAAAATGGTAAAGCATTCTGTGCACAATCAACACAAACCACTCCAGCCAGTGATGTCTGTAGGTCAGCAGCAATGAAATATAAATCTTTAGGGAAAGCTGATACATGGCACATGAGGCTAAGGCTCAAATGGGTGTTGAGAAAGGTCACGTAATGCCACCTTAATATACCAGTTGGGTAACTGAAACGGGGACTCAAAGAATTTTTTGTCTCGAGTATCAAAAGGTAGTCGATAAGACTGCCTTACACAGGACGATTGTGGAAGATGCAAAAACCCTTTCCAGAGCCAGATCAAAAAATGAGTTATGGTTGGCACTTCTGATCGAAGTGGGCTCAACCTCCTCTCAATACACCATTGCCAATATGTGTACCATTTCCATTGATAAAAGTCCATCATGGGACTAAGCAAAGACTGAACAAGACAGATACATAGCAACCTTAGAAATTACACCCTGACACCATACGAAGGACTGCATAACATCTATACCTTCAAGTTTGAGCTTCTGGATAGCTGGGTGTATGATGTCAGATCATAGTTGCCTCTGCAGAAATGGCCAAAGAGGAAGTGGAAGAGGTGGGCACAGAAGCACAAACCAGGGTTTAGCTGCCAATCTGGTGCTATCAACAGGACCCAACAATGGGTTGGAATGAATCTTAGCTAGTAACTTGGGTACCATATAAATCAGTTGAAAGGCTTAGAGTTGCAATCCTATCTCATCCTGATGGGATGCATCTATTGTCAAAGCTCAAAGATGAGGTATCATAGACCAAATTGCCAGTAGTTTGGTGTTCCAATGAGTGGCCAACCCACCACTCACCAGTGTTTCAAAATGAGAGCCTATCCAATAGAAAAACCTCGTGATGCAGCATCTATTCTGTCGGAAGAATCTGTTTAGGTCGAGAAAATTGATCTACAAGCTAGTAGGGTGATATGATAGTAGTGGTCCCAAGATAGACAATCCATGGTTTAAAAACAAAGTACCCTGGACCAAGTGCCCCCTCAAAGGGAAATGCAAGACACCACCATAGAATTGTAGGAGTGAAGTCTGACGATTTTTCCCTTAATAAGCCCAGACCATGAGGCATCACCTTTCGAACAGCAAGAAGGTCTAAAACATTGTGTAGGGAAGCTTCAATGTCCATGCATAGACCCTGGAATGCCAGACTGTTGAGATATGCACTCCATCCCTGAAGCAAGGCATCCATGAAGAGATGGATCTCTGGACGAGCTGGTGGTAGAGGAACCTATATCTTAGTATTGTTCCAATCTTACAACCCCTCGAGATCGAAGAGAATGATCCTGAATAAGGAAACTGGGGAATCCATTGGTTGCATAAAGACCAATGAAGGGATCTCTTGTGAGCTCATCCTAAAAAAATGAGGGATTCAAGTGAAGCCCACATTCCCAAAAGAGAAACAACCATCTGGTCAGTGGGAGAAGGAGAGGTGAGAAAGAGTTGGACTTCCTGTTCCGTAGCTTGGAGCAAATTGGAGTTAGCTGAGCCTGACTGAGATACGCGAGGAAAAAAATACCCAAACTGATGATATATTGTGTTGATAATGAAGGTTGCTTTGGTTGTTTCCAAAAGTAGAATCTGGATGTGACATTCTGCCAATTGATGAGATGGTGCCAGCAGTAACCAGTCATACATGGAATGGTGTTTGCACAGGGTTTGAAGATGTATTTTTGTAGTATTTCTGAATTGGTAAGTGCAGAAGTAGAGTCATTTGAGGTCTAGATGTTCACCTGTTACTTATGCAGTTTTTTGTTTCTAAGAAAACCTAAAAGAAATGTTTTAAAATCATATAATCCAAACTACACCACTTAACCACAGATCCATGGACACTACAGGTCTTTAAGTCAGGATTAGTCATTCAGTTCACATCTTCACCACCATTATCCACCCAACCTGTGGTGTTTCTGTCTTCTGCAGGCCCTCAGTTTTGTTGGTTTGGGGTCAGGGAGAGAGTTGTACCAGTTCTTTCAGGGTTTTATTCCAGTCTGTCTGCTGGGCCCAAGAAGATAGGAGTTTGGAATACAGTCCTCGATCTTTCTCGTCTATATCAATTTCCTAAATCATCCAAGGTTCACATGTTAGTCATTCCTCACTCTGTGTCAGCATTTTATTACTAGGATTGTGAATGTCCAAGCTAGATATTGCTTACTCCTGTCTGCATATTTCCATAGTGGTGGTGTCCCACCACTTTATGCATTTTGTGTGCAATGGTCAGGTGCTGCAGTTCAGGGCTCTGACCTTTAGACTAGCATCGGTACCATATGTGTTTTGCCGAATTATACGAGTTTTTCTTTGTCACCTCCGTTTTGCAAGATTACTTGTCAGTAGATTAAACATCATACTTACTCTATTAAATTTACACTCCAGAACAGCTTTTTCTAGTTGTTTTGTCAATTCAGTTGCAAGAAGACTTACCAAAACATCATAATTACTGGATGATAAACTGACCTAAAGATGAAATATGAAATTAGTCATTTGTTCTGTTTAAAGGATCCACCTGTGTATTATTTTTACTATTTAATACTAATCAACCTTAATATATTAGTAAAACAAATACATCTTCCTTCTAACTTATTTATAAAACTCAAGGTGAATTCACATTTCCTGTTTTACATGCTATATAAATACACAGATACATACACCATTTTAATTTTTTATTGTCTTACTACTATACCACAAGTCATCTTTACTTTGATATCAACATCCTGATAACACAGAAAGCATGATCATTTTACATTACCAAAGTCATTTTTACTTTGATATCACTGTCCTGATAACACAGAGAGCATGATCATTTTACATTACCACAAGTCATCTTTACTTTGATACCAACATCCTGATAACACAGAAAGCATGATCATTTTACATTACCACAAGTCATTTTTACTTTGATATCACTGTCCTGATAACACAGATAGCATGATCATTTTACATTACCACAAGTCATCTTTTCTTTGATATCACTGACCTGATAACATTAAACTTGAGATTGTATGAGTTGTGTATGAATAGCTGTTCTATAGATGTTTGAAGTGGACAATGTTTAGATTTTAGTGCCTAAGCTTACCCATTTTAATAGTTAAGTGTTAGATACAAATTTTAAAGTGAACAGTTCTTTTAAAACATTGTATAAAAATCTCTTGAAATGTGCACTAGTTCAGGTACTCTTTAGTAATTAAAAGATTTGGCTAACATCAAATGTACGGAAAAAGATCTTTTGTCAAATTTACAATAGTATATAAATTGCTTGTTTTAGTGTAATCTACACAATGGGATATCTGCATTCTCCAGTGTGGCAAACTGTACTGGGAAATTTAATGTTGTACGTTTCTGAAGTTACAGCTGACCTACTAGGGAATAGAGTTTAATACTCAGCCACTTTACCTAGATCTATACTCTCAAGGATAGAAATACTTACTTTAAAAGAATTAAGAGTTTCATCAATCTTCATAATAAAATCTTGAATAAAGCTTCTTAATCCATCATTTGCTTCATACTGAGAGAACTTTTCCTAAAAATTTCAAAATGTAGGAATATATTGGTGCAGAAAAATCTACAATTAAAATTAGGGGGGGGGGGAGATAATGTTCAATAAGAAAGTGAAGTCCACAGCAGAAACATAATGTTTCTGGTTATTTCATTTGTTAAACTAATATAAAATTATGAGGACAAAATTATATAAGATTAATAAGAAAAAATCATTACCTTCTTTTGTGGTTAAATATTTTTCATCTAGTTAAGTATAAGAAGAAGAAAAGTAGAGTTTAAATATATGAGTTATGTTTTCTAATCTTGTTTTTAAAAAGATAAAAAGCAATTAATGAGCAGGAAGATTAAAAATATAATCTCAGTAACAAATTCAGAGATACATAACATTAAATGAATATTCAATGTTTGAAATTTGTGTAAAAAAAATAAAAAAACTTTCACCTCAGTAGTAAATACTGGACTGGCTCAAATCAATAAAAGTTACATTAACTAACCATTCAATTAGGACCTCTAAACACACATACAAGCAAAGAGAACATCTAATTTGTTAGCATGCATAAGATAGATCAACAGGTAATGTGTCAAGAGATTTTTCTGAACTCAAGAAATGCAAAGATATAGCCTGTTTGTTTGTTATGTTGTATTTTATGAGTAGCTACAAGAGAAGTATCTGCACCAGCCAATCCAAATTTTGAAGTGACAGACTAGAGGAAAGGCAGAAAGTTAATACCACCAACTGCAAACTCTTGAATTACTCTTGTCAGACCGAACAGTAGAATTTGATTGTCACTCCCACAGTGTATTCACACTCCCAAAGACTTTTGGCAGTAATGGGACATGAGCCACAGAACCTCAGCTCCACAGCATGGCATGCTAAATGCTATGTGGTGCTCAGCCCAAAAAATATAAAGTAATATGCTAGTTAGTTTACAAGACAATGGGTAACAAACAACAATAATCTCTTCAACTTTCAAAAGAGTTAGATAATGAGTGACTATTAAACAGAGGCATAGTTATGAAAGACAATTTCTTCAACTGGCTGTTAAAGACAGAAGACATGGGAGTATCATAACACCAAGAATTAAAAATGGAATACTGACACTAGGAAATTTAATGGAATACTTGTATTAAAACAGTTCAAGTTCAATTCCTAAACTACAACCTTCATGACATGATGGTCATGTAAAATAACAAATGATAAAATTCAAGAAAATTAATCAAACAAACTAAAAGCTTAGAATTTTAGGAATAAATCTCACATTGTAAGTAACAAAACTTAACATTGTTACTTTTTTGAAATAAAAATGCACAATCTAATGCAAAGTTTGATATAATTATTTTAATGCATAAATTAAGAGAATATGTCCAAACTACAAGATGAAAAAGTTAATATGACAACCACAGTAAAATACGAAAAATTTACCTCCAACACAATATTATATTCAAAGAAAAAGTTTAATTATTGCTAAAAGTAATAAGTTTCATAAAAACAATAAAATATTAAATACTTTATGCCAGTGTTAAACATGATAACTGATAATTCTACTCCTCACCACTATTCCATAAAAAAAATAAAATAGTTTATTTCAGTAACAAGATTGAATGCCAAGATTACAAGATTATCCGAGTAAAAAAAAAGTAAACATATCTCAATTTATTAAAAAATACAAGACAGTTAATCTAGAAACATTAAATAAAATTAAAAGAGCAAAGCTGAAGATGATTAATTTTCACACCATGTTTTCAGCTAGTTATGCAAACTTTGAAAAGCTTATATTCAAGACAGCTGTCTCACCTCAGAAACCTCATGATTTGTTGATTTAAATTTCTCCACCCATGTTTCAATGCAAGGAGTGACTGCTTTTTCACACAGTTCAGTCATTCCAGTGTTAAGAATCAGCTGGAACTTGGTAGTTACAGAACTTAAGTCTGAAATACCACTCTGCAAAAGGACAATGCTTATATTATGTCTCCGTTACTCTACAACACAAGAGTTTATTGATAATAAATAGAACACTTTATACAACCAGCAGATATCTTTATCTATCCATGTTAATTTCTGGAAATATTTATTTACTGATATGTTAAATAATAAAATGCTAAAGGCATCCCAATAACAAATATTAAAAAATAATACAAACAACTAATACAATGGGATATAGATAGTGATTTTTAAACATGCATTATGCAATCTGGTCAGTTTTTTGCTGTTGTAAACAAAGCACCATTAGGACATGATATGCAAAATACTTAAGGTAATACCTATTAAATAATTTATGCCCATTATTTATTTTAATATTGAGACTTTTTTTTTGTACTACCTGACATCTGTTTCCTGTCAAAATGGGCCTCTCAAACTAATCAGTCATTTCTACAAAACATTTTAGGTAACCTTTGCAATTGGTATCTTTCAAAATTGACTTGTTGAATTAATTAGAATTTATATTTAGAATACTATAACCTATTTTTTACCACCCAGTCAGATCGGGAACTTAGCTTTAAGATTGCAAAAGATTTTCATTTATATAAAATATCTTATTTCTAGGTTTGAATCACACCTCTAATTTTGCCTTTTCTTGTTCTGTTGAGTTTGGAAAGCTTTTGCTGGCTTCCTCCTGTTGAAAAAGTCTTGGAATTAACTATTGATCAATCTTCAAAAACAAGATAACTCAGCTATCTTGTTTTTACTGCACTTGTGTTAATGTTATTATTGAATGATGCTATACAGTCTTTTTATTTTTCCTGTAAAGAACATATTTTGTAAAGTCTGGATAGTCAATTGTTCCAAAACTTTGTACAATTATTAAAAATAGAGAAAACAGATATATAAATGTAGTACTAGCTCATGTGGTCAAAAACATGTTGTTTCTGACTGTATATTCTTACAAAAAATTAAAAAAATAAAAAGCCAATATTCATTAGGTGATTTTATGGGCATCAAATTTAATGATGTTTACAACAATTCACAAATCTCACTTAAAAGAAGCTAAAAGTAAAAATACAAATCAACAATTACCCTATTTACTCTTCCCAAAATTTTTGTCCTTCATATTCTTAACTACAATGCACTTTGTCAAACATGCAAGTAATAATACATTTGTAATTTTTGGATAATGATGTTATTGTGTTTACAATATACTTTACTTTGACTATTTGTTAACTACAGAATTTTAGATTAATTTGAACTGGTACAGCAACTGTTTGATAATTTATTGTGGTTGTCCTGCACCATACAGTTGCTTTATATTACAGTTTTATAATGTTTGTGGTCCCTATGGTGAGAAGATACTGAATTCTTTAATAATTTAAGTTTCATTATTATTGTATCTTATTTGTTCTTGAAAGTTCCTTCTTTATTATAAGATCAAGAACAATACTTACTGATAAGTATGCTTTTTTAAAAAATGAAATCTATTTGCAGCTATAATTAAGTTGTTCTTGACAGAAAGATCCATCTCAACAACATGGATTAATAAACTTATTACAGGTATGATTTTTGATTTAATGATAAACATGTTTTCTCCTTCCCAAAAAGACACCACTTTAATCTTTCCAAGTCATGAAGACTTATAATAAGAAATAAGTTTCTACATGGTTGATAGTGTGAACTTTTACACGGGTGAGAAGGAAAGACAGTTTAAATATGTAAAAAGAATACCATATTCTCTTTCACATTTTATGACCACAAGACACTCGAGTGTTCTAAAATTTTTAAACTTTTTAGTTTAAACCACAGCAAAACTACATCTACAGCTGATGATATTACAAACCAACATTAACAAAAAAATCCAAGGTAATTGTAATTACATTAATTTGTAAAGTTATTCATCATACGTACAAATTTAGATAGGTTATTTAAATATGGTGCAATTGTATCTCTATCAATGAAAATTCATTGTGTTTATGTGGTATGTAAACTGATCATCTTATACACAGACTTTTAGTTTGTAACAAATTATAGCAATAATCATGTAACATTAGAACTCTACTGCAGCTATACATATGCAACTGGAAATAACCTACCCAATAAACAGTTAAAACTATGACAATTAAAATGGATGTGCGATCATTTAAAACAATAAACAGCTCAAGAAAATATTATGTTTAATCTTAAGAGGGTAGTCTAAAAAAGAAGTGTAACTTCTATACAGTATTTGAACACTAAATAAGCAGTGAATGGTATTATCCACAACTACAACAGTAACTTTGTTTTGAATACATACATGTAAAGATGCATTCACATGAAATGAAAACATAGAAAGTATACCTCAAGTTTCCTTCTTAGCATTCGTATGTATTCGCATGCCATTTCTGCATTATCCAGTGTTTTCTAGAAATATGATAAATAACGTCAGCATCAGCACTGTTGGAACTACATAATTAGGGAAAAAATGATCTTACAACAATTAGCTTCAGCAACATCCCATTGAATAAAAAATTGGTTTCCTAAAATACCCTTAACAAAAAATACTTTTGAAAAAAAAAACAACACCTAGCATTTCTGAAATTAATTAACTAGTTATCTTATATAATATAATATTCCTATAACTGCAGTTCTAAAACAGTTTCATAATCCATTATAATACCAAGGCCCTTAAGAGCTGTTCAATGATTTTTTTCAAAAATGTCAAAAGTTAATTCTGAAATAATCGCACCTCCTGGAGAGTAATGAGACCTTTTATCTTATTTACTCACTATATATACAAATATTTCAGTGTATACTACTTAATGAAAAAAAAACTTTTCAAAACTGTAACTCCATGCCATAGGATATGTACTTAACTCCTTTTTTGAGGTTAAACAAGAAATTAATAGAAACAAGCTATAATTAGCTCCACATATCTACAGTACTTATATAACGTTTTACTGCACATTATCAGAGCTTAATTATATTAACACCATTCACAGATAGCAGGAACTCCCTCAAAGCAGTTTAAAGTCGTATCAAGATTGTCCACACCCTATTCTGACATAAATATAATTATTTCTTTTCATTGTAATATATTTCGATTTTTTTTATTTAAAGATAAAGACTTAGTTTTGTTGAATTTTGTCTGATTGGTCATACATGAACTGACATGATTAGACTCCTAATAATTACATGAAATACTGAACTAAACATACAAATATAATGAACAGCTTAATCTTCTGTACAATTATTTTTCTATAATTACATATCAGAATTTGTTTACTGTTGTTGAAAATTGTGTTCAAAATATAGTAAAACATTATACTTATAAGAACACATTGAACAATACAAAGAATACAACTTGATGAAACTATAAACTTATATAATGTAATACTTCTCTTACTTCAGTATTATTATTTTTTAAGTCAAGATTAACAATTAGTAACACAAGTTACAATTCATTAGAATTAAAGTCTCTTTCATGCGTACCAGGTATACTGCACGAGCTTTTTCAGTATCTGAAGCCTGAAGGCGACCTTGTTGCAGACTGGACTGTATGACATTAATTGTTTGGGCAAGGTCTATACCTCCAGAAGGAAAACCTTGGCGTATACGCCCATTCAGCACATCAAAGAATGTTTCTTCCAACAAAGAACATGTGTGGTTTAACATGGCACAAACACAGTCTACACTTGAGCTTGATAATGATCTCCTAGAAAAAAAATAAATAACTGTGTTTGAAAAAAAATAACAAGAATTTATCTTTAAACAGACACTAGTATTTGTTTAGAGAAAAACAACAGGGACTGATATTGAAACAGATAGTAGTGGTTTGTTTAAAGGAGAAAAAATAACAAGGTTTTGTTTTGAAGCAGACAGTAATGTATTATTTTGAAAGACATGAGAGACTGATCTTGAAACGGAAACTAGTGGTTTGTTTGAAAGAGAAAAATGACAAGTATTTATCATGAAACACACAATATTGGTTTATTTGTAGAAGAAAAATAAAGATTTGTCTTGACAGTAGTGGGTTTTCTGAATGACAAAAACAATAAGAATTCATCTTCAAACAGACAGTTCTGGTTTGTTCAAACATCAAAAACAACAACAATGAATTTTGAAACTCAGTAGCAATATGTTCAAATGTGAAAAGTAACAAACAGAAAAACAACAACTGGTTAGTTTAATATAAACAGTTTGTTAGTATTAAAAGTAAAGTTTCTAATAACTGAAGTTAATATAACTTTAAAATAACCACTGAAAACTGTTACACTATCCTACACTCTTAATTACATATCTTGCATTTGTTGCTGGCACTCACTACTGTCACAGCTAATGATTCATGTAAACAGAACTTTCTTTGTTTCTAAAGCTGCTACTTCAAGCACAAATATATGCATGTACTTCAAATTAAATATCAATTGAAAGTGGGTACATATTTTTAATAAGTTATTTTAAAGTATTAAATACATAATAATGAAAGAGATAGGAAAATGAATTTTGCTACACCTAACTATAACATTGAACAGAAGAAAAACAACAAAAATTAATGGAATATTTTTATTTTTCTAAGGCTTCTTTCTCATATCTACCTCTCTATAATAAAAATGAGCTTCTAGCTATAAATACAACATGAAAGTAATTATTTTGATAATAAAGTTAGGAATAAATTACCTTTACTCTCCAGACAATAGCAAAAAAATTATTTCAGCCACTGTTTCATTTTTGTAGCTTCAACAAGGCTAGTAGTACAAGAACCACTAGAACATGTGTTTTAACTCTTTGACTACAGAGCTATGTGCATTACACCTACTACATAACCACCAAAGTAACCATGAGATTAGTCATACTATAACTGTTAGTAATGTAGATGTATCATTACAAACTTTCTCAGACTATCAGTACACATTACAAGACTTTCATACACAAACTATCAGGTTTTTTAATTAAGTATTATGATTTTTCAATTAAAGATTTGCTCATGAATTTTTGCTTTCAGAATGTTGACTATCCAACATTCAAAGTGATTAGTGATTTTGATTTTAATACTAAAAATACTTTTATTCATCTGAAAAATGTCACATTTCATTTGCATAATCTGTAAATAGAGTTCAATCAAACTTGATTAATGTCATGAGTGGTATACCTCAGTACTCCATGTTAGGGCCTCTGCACCTTTTGATTTAGATAAATGACATAGATGAAGGAATGATCAATGAATTTGATGATGGTATAAGGTTTTGGATGTTGCTGGCTGTGAGGAAGATGCTGCTGCTTTACAAAAGGATTTAGATTTGGTTACTTGGACAAATAAATGGTAGATGGCTTTTAATCTTAATTCTTGTGGGAATTCACAATTTGAATTATGAGTATAATTTTGATGGGAATAACCTTAACAGTGTTATGGAAGAAAATGAGCTTGATGTTTTGATTGATCAGTTTCTTAAGCCATTCAAGCAGTGTGTTGTTGCTAGTGGCAGTTGGGTAAAGAGAATTTCAGGTTCTATTTATAAAAATATTGAATACAAGTCTAAAAAGGTTATAATTTCATTGTATAAATCACTGGTTAAGCCACATTTGGAGAATTATATTGGGTGCATTAACTTATGAAGGACATTGAATTGTTGGAAAAAGTTCAGAAGAGGGCTACTAAGATGATACCCGAGATGGAAAGTTTGTCATATGAGGACAAGTTAAAATCCCCGAAATTGTTTTCTTTTCATAAAATAAGCATTAGAGGGGATCTGACTGAGGTGTTCACGATTATCAAGAGAATTGATATTGTTAAAGCATCATCTTTTGCATACTTAATGGTGAGAATGATAGAACTAGGGGATACAAATATTAATTTTGGCAGAGTAGGAGAGATTTTCAGATGAGACAGTTTTACTTTTTCTAACAGGATGATTGGCCTTTGGAATGGGTTGTTTCAGATCTGGTGGATGCAGTTAATTTAAGGTAGCTTAAGGAAAAGCTTGTAAATATGTGAAAGATAAAGGCTGGCTTTGACTGCTTTATTTTTATTTGAAAGTTTAGTTTAGTGGATGGGAAGGCGTAAATGGACCAACAAGTCCCTTGTTGTCTTTAAATTATGTACATGTACATGTTTCTATGTAAATATAGTTTCTTAAGAATAAATAACATGCTATTTTATTTGTATGTATTGTTTGAATATAATAAGCTTAACAATAATAATCAATAAATAAGGGATTAAAAATTTGAATATTTTGCTGTCATCTAACATATTCACTAAATCTAACTAAGGTTACTGGATGTCTTGTTATAAAGGAACATTTCTATAGTTTTCAAAGAAATATCACTGAAGATGAAAAATTTTTTAGGAATGAAAAAAAATTCCTAAATAAATTATGAATAATATTCCCAAATCTGTGGTTTGCTCCTATGTAATCTAAAATGCCTATAAGATTCTTTTATTCACCCTATAAAAATGAGCAGAGAGACAATATCTTGAGAAACTACAGATTGCAGTTTAAACCACTTTTTTTTTACTTTATATTGACACAGATAGATTTTAATGTACTCTATCTAATTATACTGATCCACTGGTGATAGTTTTTTTCAGCACTGAATGTCATTAGTAATTGTTCACACCACATATTGTATCATCATAAATGCATGGCAATAAAATACTAAAAATAAAACCACTAAAACAGAAGGAAAATCAAGTTAAAAAAACAACAAATGAATCATTATATTTTTAAGGGATGATAGTTTATTAGGAATATAAATCTTATATTTTGTGATGGGCAGAAAAATATTCTAAAATAAATCAATAAATGTGTTGTTTGGAGGAAAAACTCCTCAGAATTGTACAGAAATGAAAGTTGAAATATTAACAATATTTTTATATTTGAGATAGCTAGAATTATTATTTCTACTTAAATTTTGAAATTTGATATGTAGATGTACAGTTGACACTTGAAAGATGCTCACCAATCATAATAGGGTTAACTGTATCATAAACTCAAATTTATCATAACTCATGACAGTTTAAACACTTTCCTTAACTGTGTCCTGTATTAGAAACTCAAATCTTTCATAACTCATGACAATCTAAACACTTGACAGTTCCTATTACAAATTCAAGCCATCTTTAATTTTGAGATGCTGGCAAGAGAGAAGGCAGCCATCAGCAGTCCTCACCACCACAAGTTCTCTGTCTGGCTCTTTGAACCAAAAAACAGGATTGACTGTTATTTTTATAATATGTCTACAGCTAAATGTGCAGAGCATGATCTGTAGCATCACACCTCAAACTGCAGACTCTCCAAACCACAACCTGACACTGACTTTAACCCATGTCCAGACCCACAAATATTAGTTAAAAGATCATACAAGTTTTACCCATATGTCCAATTTTAGTTTTTTTTAAAGGTGAATATCTTACCTGATACATTTCTTTAAAATAAAAAACACATCATCTACCATATTGGAGGTTTGTGGATTTTCTTCTTTTCTGTCCAAAATGATAGCCTGTGAGTGAAAAACAAATTCATGTTATAGTTTTTTGTGTATCTTCTGGCACAATAGTGGTGTTGTTTTACAATATTTGGTTATGACTACATTGAACAATACACATAATTCCGTTGTGGTTTATAAAGGAACATTTTTATTACTAATAGTTTCATTATAACTGTAAGTTCTTTATTCAGCCTCTAATTAGTAGTTCAACCATTACTATTAAAACAAAATTTTGAATCTAATACTGAAGCTTTTATCAAGCTGTATGCGTAGATATTTGATTTACCATATGAGTGACAGCATTAAACTTATTTTCTGAATAAATAAAACTGCACAGCATTTTCATGAACACATTAATTAGCACAAACATATAAAAGAAAAACATAATACCTCACTATTTTTTTAAGGGAGGACACTTGTTATTATAAATATCTGTCAAACATAAATACTGTACAGTGTAATGAAGTGAATGCTCTGCTGAAATCAAATCTTGTCATTTATAAAATACAAGTTTCTTGTAAAAATTTCCGAAGCGTAGCAAACAGAATCCATAGTGTAATACTTGACTTTTGGATAAATTGAACAATTTCTATAAACATATGGCAAAATAAAAAATTAAAGTAAACCCTCACTACAAACCCTTAAAGTTAACAGTTTCTGGTCTGCATCTTTTCAATAAAAAATTCAGGCCTAAGTTTCCATACAAACAACGTATGAAAAATAAACAGAATTTTGAGCAAATACAAGAGACTCTGGGTTAACATCCTCTCGTTATTTTCCAACTAACTCTTTCAGTCAATTATTTCTAGTTAATTTCTTGATCAGCACCTCCAGCTACATTAATTAAAACATACCTTACTGACAGACTCACACATGAAGTACTTCTCCATTGTAATGTATATGCCAACTAACTCTTTCAGTCAATGTTTTAAATTATTTCTAGTTAATTTCTTGATCAGCACCTCCAGCTACATTAATTAAAACATACCTTACTGACAGACTCACACATGAAGTACTTCTCCATTGTAATGTATATGCCAACTAACTCCTGCATGGCTCGACTTAACTCACAATCTTTAATTAATACAGACAGCCTTTTCAGTTGCTCTGAAAAAAAGGAATTTTGTGATTAAAAAAATACAGAGGTTATCCAAAGTCATTCTAAGCTTAAAAATAAGTATTACAGAAAACTGATTTGTTATACACATAAAAATATATTTAGTCTACAGAAATCATAACAACATAGCTAGTTCTCAAGATTTTCAGATATCTTCCTTCTTTTGATTATAGAATACATCAACAAAACCTAATTTAACACTACATTTTTACCAGATTATTATTTCAAATATAAACGATTTGTATTATAAGAAAATAGGAATAATTAATACCTTGCTTTACATCTTCTTCTTGAGATGCCACTTCAATATCTCCCTAGACATTTCCAAAACAAAGAGTTCAGCAATTAAGCTTATGACATTAATTCATATAAAGAGTTATTTTGAATTTCTAACCATCAACATGCTTATGATCACAACATTCTAGTGGTTTGGTAATAAAGATAACTTATAACAAACATATATATGCATAAATAAATAAATAGCACTTATTAGTTACATTAATTGTTAATAAGTGATTAAAATCAACACCATAAAACAATAATGAACTTAATATAAAATAAGCATTAACTAAGCTTTAAGGGTAACTGCCTTCCCACAACTTGCTGGAGACAGTGAAAGGCAGGAGCTGAGACATTGTGGGTGTAATCACTCAGCTCCATAATCTTGATTGACTTCCCATAATAGCTGTCTAGTTTATCATCAGTTTTTGGATATTGTCTGATAGATGGGATATCCCCAACGCATTTGGGTGCTATTACCACGGGCATTATCTGTTACGACATCAAGTTGACATGCTTATTTTATATATATATACATATATATGCATTTATTAGATGAATATCAAATTTGTAGTATATTATTACGATATCTAAATCCAAAATTAAAAAAGTATTCATGAATTACAAACAAATATTACACACATATAAATATATATATAGACAGGTATTATCGCAAATACACTTTTAAGCAAGATTTTTCAGAAACTTTTAATGAGATATAATTTGATTTTTCTAATATTACTTCTTGCACTACAAAAGGTACATTAAAATATATGTCTCAGTACAAGACACACTAACTAGTGAACTTAAGAATAGAAATAATACTCTGCAGCTCCAAAGTTGTTTCTTAGCAGCTGTAGTCTTTTTATTTAAAGTTTTCTCAAGTACTCAAATTTCTTCGTAGTAGACAACCCTCTCACGGAGAATGAATGTTTCAAATGTGCTTTTTCTTTGTTAGTTGATAAATGCGAGTAAGAATATGAAGTTTAAGACCAACCTACAAATGTTATATTGCATTTCAAAATATAAAATTGTAAATAAATTTAAAAATTGATAATCTGATAAAATAATACGAGCAATTTTCTTACTGAAACACGGCGCCGAATGAAACGCATATAAAGCTCTGCTCGAGTGTTAATCAAAGTCATTTCAGTTAAAAGCACATCTAACTCCCTTGGATCTAACCTACACGGAAGAAAAAATAAGATTTAAGAATAAATAGATTAAAAACATTGGTGGAAATTGTACGGTGGTGGGGGCTGCCTAACAAACAGTACACCCTGACTTCATAGTACACAAAAATAATCTATCAAAATTTTTCTACACACCCAAAATTCCTGATGTGAGGGATAGATCTGATTCTGTCTACATTGTGATTTAAATAACACTCACAATCAGTATATCATTAAAGATAGACTTATTCACCCTTTTGTCCCCCAAATATAAAAGTCAAACTCTACCTATGATTAAAAAAGTGAACATTTCTCTGTTTCACAGATACGAAAATGTTCTACAATAACCTCTCAGATAACTGGATGTCCACGAAGAAGCACAAAATTAGATTTTTGAAAGAAATCATAAGAATCTTTTTTTTTTATTTCAATATTTTTTTTTATATTCTTCAATTCACCTTTGTGAATAGAAAGGGTTAAAAGATTTATTCAGAGTTTTGTTAAAAATGTGCAATAATGACACACACAAAAGTCAGAAATATGACCTACAATTCATGAGATGAACAATAATATTTTTCTAGAGCTTACTTTTATGGACAGGACTCGCAATAACCAATAAGATGTTCTAGAATCTGCTAATGTAGGGAAGACTGATAACAAGAACTACTGGGAAATATATCAGATAAATAAGATAATTACTCTAGGGACTCCTGGTTTGGACAAGACTAGTACATAATTAATATACCTGTACCATTTATTAAATAAATAAGAAAGTTAAGCCACAGCTTGACATATATCTTAATAATAGTAATAATAATATAAAACAAGTTCACAAAATCAGGCCATTAATTTCTTTTTAAAAAATCACATTAAGCTTAGAAAATAGTTAAACCAATTTTCAAATATTAATCATATACAAATTCCAAACTACAAAACTAATGATGTGACATCAGCTATAAAACTTATGATTTGGTAATGCTACTCCAGTATTTAACTTAAACATGATACGAAAAGGAAACAACCTTTCTAGCACAGGACTTAGATAATACTACAGAGTCACAAACTTACAACTTAGTTAATTCTGTCTTTTTATATGTTTTAGGAAATTTTAGCATGACAATTCTTAATGTATTACCTACTAATGTCAGAAGGTGCAAATAAAGCAAAATTATGCAAATATATGCTGGAAAATTAAACAATTAGGTATGAACCTTTTAAGATTTTGTTTGTAGTAAATAAAATATGTAGTTTCATACTATTATTTGGGTTGGGTAAGGTTATAGTGCTTTTATATAAAAATAAAGTGTAAACAGTTCTATATTGAGAAGTCATATTTAAGTATTTTATAAAAGACTCATTTAACCACCTAGAATATTAGCAAGTAATGATACCTACTTTTCCCCTTCATTTGGATTTTCCACCAATTTTGCCACAACTGCTGCCTGTTATAAAAGTATATTTGCTCCTGATTAGATTTCAATTGTAACTCATACACTTTTCAATTTTCATATATATATTCAACTGCAAATTTACTTTTAAAACCTGAGTACAAGTATGAGAAGGAAGTAAAGAAGATTGGTTGAATTGAATTACAGTAAATATATGCAAGAACAACAAAAAACAAGCTTTAACAATTTTCTTGTAAGATGTCAATTCTGTCAGAAAGCATAGAGATCACCAGAATTACCAGATGTTGCCCACAAACTTTCCACAGTACACATGATGTTCTAAACTACTAATGTTTATCCACAACATTTAGTCAACCCACACTTTGAACCATCTGAATCAGAAATTCTTGCAACAGTAATCCCACTAAAGTAAAGGTAAAAGTTATACAGTAAATTCATTTTATTGCATTTCACTGCTTTAGGTTTCAGTCATTCCACTCAAGCAATCCTCACCTTATTTGCAAAACGTCTGTTTAATTTGAAGTCATCCAATATTTTCTTAACCTGCCGATCACATTCTTTCTGTAAGATCTCAATAACACTCAGTAGTCTGCCATGACCTGAAAGAAGGAAAAAATAACATTCAATAGTCTGCCATGACCTGAAAGAAGGAAAAAAATAACATTTACTAGTCTGCCATGTGCTGAAAACATAACACACCAAGTAATTTGCCATAGCCTGAAATAAGAAAAAAATAACACTCAATAATCTTCCACAGCCTGAAATAAGAAAAAATAACACTCAGTAATCTGCCATAGCCTGAAAGAAGAAAAAATAACACTTAGTAGTGTATCATGAACACAGTAAAAAGTCACTATTTCCATGAAATTAGTGTTATATACTTCAAATCTAAAGAACAAAACTAATCATTTCTCATTCTTAACTACTCAAATCAAATTATTAGATTACCTTAGTAAAACAATTCTGATCATAGGAAGGTATAAGAATGCAACTCCACAACAATGATAAATGTTATTTCAACTGAAAATTTTTATGATAGGGGTTTGTAGTTCAGTGTCTTATTACTCATTACATTACAGTACTTGCAGTAGCTCAATGATTACAAGTTTCCTCTGGTAAAGTAAATACTAGTAAAGTATGCACAATTTGACCAAACTATCATGCACACTGTTTTAACCATAAATTGTGTTCTAACTTTAAAAGGTATTTCTAGTTTGCTTCAATTTTCAACAGTCACTCTCATGTAAGAAACTGTTTGATAACTAACCACTACTCAATAAACTTACCATAATAAGTTTCTACTAATGGTTGATGGATTTCCACTATTCTTGCAATACTTTCAAACAACAAAGTTAATGTGTCTGCATATATAACATTTGCTCTCTTTTCATTGGGATCAGAGCTCTGAGCACTTTTAAGATTCCCCTGAGCAGCCTCAGTAACCTGAAATTAAGATTACTTACATTAACATTATGCTACTTTCAAAATTTGTTATTAATATTTACTCTTATTCAAAATAAATTGCTTATATTATATGAAAAAATAAAACACAAATAGATAAAGCTTTTATGTGGAAGTGAAAGTGAGTGCTCAACACAACAAGTACAGCATTAAAGTAATACCCGTGGGAATGCAAGACCCTCAGCAGTACAGAAATGTAGCGAGTACACTCAAACATTACAAGATCTTATCACTCCTTCAATATCTTTGGAAAATAACTGGCAAAATCTTAAATTGAACCAACAGCAACTGGCATGGAACCTTGATTTTTCATAATGGGTTAAAATTCAAGGAAATTGTGTAAATATTTAAAATATTAAAATACTCAAACAATCAACATTGTATAATAAACAGTACTGTGTATTATACAACATTGATCATTTGAGTATTTTAATACAATGAAACCTCGATTTTAAACACCCCAATTTAAGGCGAATTCGGATATAACTAGATGGGTCATTAACTCTTTCGACACGGGCTCGGTCCCTGAGACAAACCTCGTAACCATAACCTCGTTATAGTTTATATACTAATAACTTTTAATATTTTAAGTGTATCTTTACAAAACCCTGATTTAGCAGACCCCGCTTGTTTCACGATGACATTTTATGGACTTCAACGATCGCGTTATAATGGGGCTACACTGTACTTGATTTTTCAGATTAATCCTAGTCTATTTAAATACTTAACCAAATATTCTAAATTTCCAAGATAATTAGCTGCATCATCCCACCCCTAAAAAAATTAATTCTCAGAAAATCTTACTAATATTTACCAATCCATAAACACTAGATATTCTAAGCTGTATAACAAGTCAAAACTTTGATCACATTCTCAAAGTTTACTCATTAGTTTTCAGAAAATTCCTCCAACAGATTAAAGTTTAGCTATTCGTTGATCCTATGGTTAGTGATTAATTAAAGTAGCAAAAAAATTGAAAAACAAAGAAAATGACAATTATATTTCAAGACACATAGTGGAGATTTACACCACATCAGAATTACCTTAAAAGCGAGTTCTTGGTCCTAACCTTAGGACAATTTTCAGTTGGACCAAAAGCTTGCTATTAAAATAGTTTTAATATTACATAAATTCATTTTATTTATCCTTATATTATTCTACTCACATTTCAAAGAAGACATTCAGTGGTGATAATGTTAACTCTAAATAACCAATAAAAATTTACTTCCAAAAAATGGTGGATTTTGAAGCCTCTTGTTTTTGTCTCTTTCATCACATTTGAATCCAACTACTTTTGTTTGACTTCAAAACTAAAAATTAGTTTCACAATGCCACAATGAATTCCATCATATTTGAAATCAAGAACTATCAGACTACACCACAGTCCTTCACCATGAGGCAACAACCCTAACCACTAGGCTATGCCTAAGGCTGTATATTGCTATTTGATATCTTAGAGTTTAATTGATTTTTGAATCTATGTGTTTTCCTAAAATCATGGACATTGCTTACTTAGTATATGCTACATATATAACCAGTGTGACACTACTTGAGGCATAAGGACCACAAACTTAAAATTTGTGCAAAAAAGTATAAACTAGGTAAAGTCATATTCAAATAGATCTGTAATTTCAACTATTTTAAAACAATGAGAAATACACTTTTTATTCACTTGGTAACCATTATAATTTACATAGAAGATGTTTACAGATTTGTTTCAATCCTTTATCTGTGAGTAGTCCAGCCTAGGAGTGTAAAAGGTAACATTGACATAAGTAATTACTTTCTTGTTTTGCATATTGCTATAGGTGTACCTAGAGCTCTTTTCTCAACTGTACCAACTCTAACTAGGATGCAGTACCCGTTACGTATCATACTAGTAAAAATTTTTAAAGACCATGTACAAGGATAATGCCTAATAAAAGTTAAGAATACTATGTTTATGTTTATTACTTTTCTGCTTTAAAACCAGTATCATCAAGTAATGTTTATTTTTAGTAGTCTTGTGAAAATTTGGACAGAAAAACAAGAATGATATTAGCTGTATTTTCAGCTTATGACAAAGTTTTGTGTTACGTTGTGTACATGATATATTTTCATGTATAAAAGTTTCAGATTAAAAAAGTAATTTAATTTTAAATTGTTGCACCTGAAGATATTATCATATTAACCAACAGATAGTATAATGTCTTCATTTGTGGCTTGTGTAAATCTGTCTACCATCCAATGCACAAAGAATCGTGAATTTTTGCAGTGGGCCATTCAAAATGTTGCGCACAAAATGCTTGCATCATATGGTGTCAACCACAGTCGCCTATGTTAATATCATGCGATGTCAACCACAGTCACCTACACTAGCATCATATGATGCCAATCACAGCCGCCTGCACTAACATCATATGATGTCAAATGCAGTTGTCTACACTAACATCACATGATGCCAACCACAGACACCTATGCTAATATCATATAATGTCAACCGTGGTCACCTATGCTAACATCATATAGACAGCCTGGTAATAGAATGAAAGCTATAATCTTCCTATACTAAAAATGTATTTCCAATAGGTACTTACCTCATCTCACAGATATAGCTATTCTCGTTCAGTGCTGCCCTCTATATGCAATTTTTTGCATGCCACAAGCCTTGCACTCCTATGTTCACAATGATTGTGGTTCAACTGTGTCTTGCATGCAAATTATCATGCAACAACCCTCCATCAATACGAGTATCACACACATCCTCCTAACGCATGTGACTCCCTCTATCTGATTCTAACAAACTATCACTACGAGTTTTGGCAGAAAATGTAAGCACCAGTATTCAGTGGGGAGGAAGAGTGAGAAGCATGAGAGGTGGTAAGTACCTATCAGAAATACATTTTCAGTATAGAAAAATTCTAACTTCCTATATGGTACATTACCTCCGCTCACAGATATGGCTAGAACTCCACATTGAATAGGTGGAGTGACTGGTGCAAGGGATAGAAAGAAGCATTCAAAGAATACCCTAAAAGGGGAGATCCTCATAGTAGAGGGTCATACATGGGAGATTGCACCACTTCTGTACCAGGTATATTCTATGCCAGTGTGAAAAAAGGTTTCACAGACATTGGTGGAAATTGTAGGAGCACATCAAAAAGGGAGAGAAAAATGGTTGGATAAGGATCCGAACCACCTTATATCAGAATCTCAATCCCTTTGAAGAAACATCAGAGAAGTAAATCTCCACAGACAGTAATGTTGGTGAGAGTAAAAAGGATGTGCCCCAAGGTGTTGAGTGGCTAGGACATGATGGACCGTACTCAGCAAGGCAACTGCTCCAAAACCCACTCCACAAGGAAGTGACATCTGAACGATCAGAATAATAAAGATATCCCCATATTGTGCAACAGACAGGAACTGCAGCAACCTGCATGTTCATCCACCATGACCCACAACACGTTAGTAATGAACATGAGGTTAATTGAGTGAGTGAACAGAAACACCAGTAATACATGTGTGAGAACCTATGTTGACTGGTCTTGCTCTGAATCCAAAACCCAGCCATCTGGAACTAACATCCATGTGAGGGTAGGATGAGGGATACCAATCGAAGGGGTGAACTGCAAGTTTGATGGCTCACTCCAAAATTACAACATCCCTGCAGATAAACCCATTCAGAGATGGAGCATCAAATTGGAGAACATATTGTCATCTACACCAGCAGAACACCCTGCCCTACTCTCAACTGACTGGATTCATTATTGTTTGTATTGTATATCACTATCACATTCAGGAGTATGCCTCCATGGTCCACCACCCCAGTAGCTTAGAACTGGAAAGTGGTAATGACTCCCAGACTCCACTGGAAGGAAAAAAGAAAACATGGTGAAGAGTTCAGAGGAACAGCAACACTGGAGACAGTGCAACGGGTGACCAGGAAAACTCTATTTTGAAATGCAGACTACTCCTGATTTATTCAATCTAAGGAATGGCAGGGATGGGCAGCTATCTTATGCTTTACCCATGAAGTTGTATGGGTTAGTACGGTCCAGAACGGGTATATTAATGAAGCAAATAT